CAACGAACATTACATCTCCCCCCCCCCCCCCCCGACTTTTCGATGAGGTACAAGTTGGAAGAGAAGAAGAAGAAGAATAAGAATTCAGGGCAAGCCCAAATTAGTTTGGTCTTGATCCTGACGAACAGCGAAGAGTTTCCATACTGACGGTACTCGTTGTCGCCTGGTTAACTATACGTCTTGTCTTTCTTCTGAGTGGCGCCCAAAGCCTAAAGCCACACCTCGCTGCATGTTTTTAGTACCTTCCGTTTCGCCGGTCACCTTGTCCCACAGGCTAGAGATCATTTCTGCCTTGTGCAGTTGCAGTACACCTTCAAGTGGGTGCCAGTCCAGCTATCATATCTGCTTGCTTGTTCCCAAAGTCACCTGAATAGCTTAGCCAAAATAGCCATGGGACTCTCATTACCTGCACCCTCAGGATTAAAGTAACCCATTCTTTACGAAGAAAACCTGACTCCGCCATATGACAACATTTGTGACTGAGTTTTTTGCGTTTGACACAAGAACGGAGCAACTATGAGGTGACCTGTTTGCCATGAAATTCGGACTGCGACTACACCTGGTTACCTGGTTACTTCCTTTCCTCTAAATGCAGGGTGGGATGCGCGAGTGCTGATCCATACGTCGTAGTACCAGGGCGTCATGACAGTAATGGTCAAAGCCTATCTACAGCATCCGCGAGCCGTGCGTGTAATAGTTGTAGTCGCCTGTTACATTTTCCATTGATGAGGGAAAATAATTTGCTGCTTTATATTACCTAAGGACGAGGAGCAGCGGGTCGAGTGGTGACAAGGTCCGGTTCTCATACAGGAGACCCAGGTTCAAGCTCCGGTAAGGTGATGGAGTTTTTCTGTAAGCGGCAAAATTAAACATCTTAACCTGCACATTCCATGGCGACAGTACCGGGCATGCTAACATGCACAGACCCAAGCGACAGCATTAGCCACACGGCCCTAAATTGTCAGGCTCCGACCACCTGTCTTCAATGCCCGCAGAAACTGGTAAAATATACAAAAGTGACATTTTTTTCTAAACTATTTACGATTTATTACTATTACACTCTCGGTTTTCATATCAAACATAACAAAAAGCAGGCTTTCTACATGCTTATGACACTCATTTAGACACTATAGCGTGTGAAATGGGTCAGTTACTCTAATTATAATACTAGCTGCGCATACATAGTCTGAACAGCGAATAGACGAGGATGAAAACATCACGTGATGTCCTCTCCAGTGTAACCATTACCCGCTTTTGCTTACACATTCGATTGGATCACACCTCGCCACTGATCTACAAGTCTCTACAGTCATCGTAGAAACAGGCTCCCAACTGGGGATCTACATTTCCGTCCAAAGGCGACAAACCAATTGTCTGCACACACAAAAAGCCAGATCTGTAACACGAATGTGCAGACAACACTGGATCAAGAAAGCCCAGTGAACAAAAAACCTGGACTTACCTATATGAGTTGACATTCTGTGAAAGCCAAGAATATGGAATGGTAGCCAATGCGATGGAATCGTAACCAAGGAGATGGATGGTAACCAAGTAGATGGATGGTAGCCAAGGAGATGGATGGTAGCCAAGGAGATGGAATGGTAGCCAAGGAGATGAAATGGTGGAGCTGGTGTTGTGGTCCACCCTGGTGCTGTGGTCCACCCTGGTGCTGTGGTCCACTCTGGTGTTGTGGTCCACTCTAATGTTGTGGTCCACTCTGGTGTTGTGGTCCACTCTGGTGTTGTGGTCCACTCTGGTGTTGTGGTCCACTCTGGTGTTGTGGTCCACTCTAATGTTGTGGTCCACTCTGGTGTTGTGGTCCACTCTGGTGTTGTGGTCCACTCTAATGTTGTGGTCCACTCTGGTGTTGTGGTGCTGGCCTCTTGACTTCACTAAATGTTACTCCTGGTATCGGTTCTGGGACCCCGATTTGCGGGAAAATTATACACTCACCCCCCCCCCTCATCTTTCTTTTCGCACCAAGAATGTCGTAAAAGGCTAGTAGTTAAGAGGTTTGATGAAACTGGATGTGCTGGGATGAAATGTGCGGCCTAGCTGTAATCAACACAACAATGTGACAGCGGCCTTTTAAAGGGGAAACCAAGAAGAAAAAGAAGCACAAGAAAAGAAGAAGAGGAAGAAGAAGAAGATAATGATGATGATAATGATGACGCTAATGATGATGAGATGATGATAAACTAAATCTTATAAAAATTAATCTATCATTTATTGTAACAAATAATTAAATACATTTTTTGCCTCGCACCAGGATACACAAAAACCATACAATGTGACAGCAAGAAATACCGAGACGCCTACTGCGAAGTTGGCGGGGTAATGCGTAAGTTGACAGTTGGCCGGCGAGTATCCAGATCTGCTTGCACTGAAGGGCACTCTTATTTCAATTTGGGCAGCGTCATCAAGGTTAGCAACGGATGCAGAGCTTATTTTTGGGCTGGTCTCTAAATCTCATTTGGAAAAAGAAGTTCTAATGATAATCATCGATGTGTGTAATCCTGTTTGTAGACTAGTTTTTATTCATTATAACTTATAACAGTGTTTTGAGCAGCATAAATACAGTAGATCCTTGAAATTCGAACGCTTCAAAATTTGAACAGCCTGAAATACGAACACAATTTTCAAGTATCTTTTTGCTTCTGTACATAACGCCGCCAAAGGGGTCTCCATGGCGAAGTGGTCAATCTGTTTGCTTCACGCTCTAAAGGTCGCGGGTTTGTTTCACGGCGGCCCCGTTCAGTTTACGAGTGTAATTTATGGTGAGATCCCTGGGGATCGTCGCTGGAACAACGGAGGTCGTGCTTTATGCAACGCTCTCGGCAGGCAGCTAGCTGCTCTGCGGAGAGAGACTGAGCCATATGAAATAAAACCAGCTGCTATAAAGTCACCTTTACCCTATAACGCCGCCTTGAACACTGAAAACCTTGCACGATCTTGTCACGGGCAGGGTTGCCAATAGGATTTTTATTAAAACCCAAGCTTAGCTGATCAAAATGCCCAGCAATAGAAAAGCAAAGAACAAAACAAAACAAAACCCCAGAATGATAAAAAAAATGAAAATTGTATAGTTATGAAACAAAACATGTATTCACTTTTATAAAAGAAAGTTTTACCAGGGCGTAAAAAAAAAACTCAGATCGTGAACTCAGAACTCAGTATTGGTAGCCTTGGTGACAGGTTATGACTACGCATCACTTCAATTCTCGCGCGACATCCTGTAGCTAGATTAGAGGCGGTCATGTTTTTTTTTTTTTTTTTCAGGCTGTGCCGAACACAAAGCATCTCGGCTCTTCATCTCAAGCGATTTCAGCGGCTAATTTTACCTAAGAATTTCTGCGTAATTGTTTAGGACAATTAAAATTTTTACACGGCGCCCTAAACTAAGTAAAAGTATGACTATTCGCATGTAAGAGAAAAAACAAAACATGTGTTTCTTCGATTATTTCGCGGCACCCTGTGAAGAGGCCGCGGCGCACAGTTTATGAAACTGCTTTAGACAATTAGTTCTGATTGTTTTTAAAAATCCTTATTGACTATCCTCTGACTAACGGTCGGTAAAGATGGCGACCGCAAAATATCCGCTCGAGCCGCATACACATGTCAACTGCCCGCTTCCGGCTACTTAATTTGCGGTCTTCCGGCGGTTTTCCGCCAACAAACGCTACCGCCTTGTGGCCCCCACACTAGTTTAGCCCCAATCCACACCACATGAGCGGCGTGGGAGCCACGTGGCGGTAGCCATTGTCGCTGGAAAAGCGCACATGAAGTTAGTCGGAGGATTGCCTTCTTATTTTTTATTATTGTGGGCGCCTGTGGCTTAGGAGTTCCGAACGCACTTCCTAATGACGGGATGCCGGGTATTTTCCCAGTTGCGGGCCTTGCGATGGTTTCGACAGTGGTATCAAGAAGCCGACCGTCGAGAAAGCAATGACAAATTAATGAATGCAAATTTGCATAGATAAACCACAACAGCCACAAAATTCTGGGGTTGGTTCTGCAACGTCCTGTAAAGTATAAGCAACTAACTTTTATTATTTATTATTATTATTATTTATAATTTTTTAAAATTTAAATTAGATCATAGTTTAGTTATTACATTGCAATGTACTGTACTTGGGCAAATACAGTGTTTACGTCAAGCCATCTCCTTGTGAGGTGCAATTTTTCGTTATTTGAAGCCCTACTTTGGCTCTTGCCAAGGGCCGCAATATAGCCCGACCATAAATATGGTCTAATGGCTGAACGCGGTTTCTGGGACCTCTCCACGATGATCCTCATCCACATGGTTGCACTTTGTGTCATCAGATGTTTATCGCTTGTGTGATGTCCTGGTGGGGTAAAAATCTACTATTACTACTACCTGACAAATAAATGTGTAAATTAAAATTTCAGTTCAGAAACAGATTAATTTTGTTTCCATTATTTTCACGATGAAGAAAAGAAAAAATACCTGGAAGTCGGAGGATAGCCGTCTCAGAAAATAATGCTTGAATTCCTATGAACTGTTGTACTTTTAAATGCACGTTTTTGGTTTTTAAATGTGTATCAAAGGGCTGCGGGATATACTGAAGATGGGATCCGAGTACTTGTGGACTGATTGTCGGTGTGCAATGAGGATAATATGTCGACTAACTAACTAACTAAGTATAGTAAAGCTACTGCCCCTCCTGGATTTTTATTATCACATCTTCTTCAAACAGTTAGAAGTTTTGAGGTATGGTGTCTGCCTTGAGTGCTAGAAGTTCCGGGTTCAATCCCCGGTAAGGGCTGAGATTTTTTACACCTGGACTTGAACTTCTAGTAATTGCCCCTGGTCTCTGGGTAGTGAGATCAGACGGCCGTCAAAAAAAAATCCATTAACAGTTGAAAATCGAAAACAAAGTAGCAAAGTTTGGTGTTAAAAATGTACCCAAAGTCTTCTTCTTCGTCTTCGCGTTCACCGGCTGTAAAATCCGGCGGAAAGTATTGGTTGTTCGTCCAATTCTGGACTGCAGTCCTGTTCCAGAACCTGAGTGTTGCGTGTGCAACCGTTTGACAGATCTGTATGCAGACTGTTGGTTCCTTGCCTCTCAGGCAGATGCACTCCGACTTCGAAGGAAGCTTCCAATTAGTCGACTCTTACGACATGCTTTTGGGTAGGCAGTGGGTCTATTCTTATTTTTCCCATAGTAGGGCCCCGGAACCCACACAGGGGTGTACCCAAAGTATTTCAGGATCCTCACCGGTGCTACACAGCCTGTGCACTGTGCTAAGCTTATTCGGACTCACTTGAGTAAGAAGAAGAACGGAGCACTTATGGGTTACTACCCGTGTGCCATGATGTTGATCCGTTTTTCAAACCTCAAACCAACTCATACTCATTTGCAAAGGAGACTGAATAAGTCAGGGCATCTATTTCTTCCCTATCCACAATTATACTCAACCTCCTTCAAGTTTCTTTATATACATAAAATATAGAGAGTTACTTATTGCGTAGTCATTAGACATGCTAATGTATTTTGCCACTGCCTGCTTTGTTGACAATTAAACTTGTGAAAGTTTTATCTCGGAATAAAATTGTGGCTTGTGGAAGTTCAACGTCTGATTTCCTTATCAGCAGTATCAGCATCATCATCACTACCACGCCATCATCATCATCACCACTACCACTACAACCACGAAGACCATCATCACCAAAACCTCCATCATAACCACCACCATCACTTCATCATCTTCTTCATCAAGTTCTATTTTAGCGTTTACCGCCTGAAAAATCGGCGGAAAATTCTGGTAGTGTATCCACTTCTTACCCCATATTCCAGGATTTGAGTTTTTTATGTACATCTATTTTACAGGTTTGATTTCTTTGTGTGCGTCGGGGTTTGCAGCTTAGGTGTTGCGAGCGCGCTTCGTAATGCCGAGATGCCAAGTTCTATCCCAGTTGCAGGCGGTTAGACAGCATACCGCCTTGTGTTGGTGTAGACAGTAGTCGTTGCGAGCGCGCTTCGTAATGCCGGGATGCCAAGTTCGTTCCCAGTTGTAGGCGGTAGACAGCATACCGCCTTGTGTTGGTCTGGACAGTGGTATTAAGAGCCAAAAGTTCAGAGGTAGTTGCAAATTGCTGAACGTAAATTTGCCTGGGTGTATGTAACACAGACTGAAAGTCTATTTCTGGGATTGCAACGGTGGTCGCTAGAGACGTCACAGTTTCAGTGATCTGAAAGTTATTCATCGTAATACTGAAAGTTGTCCTAGTGTAGGTTTAGGGGCCTCAATATGTATGTGGGGGGGGGGAATAGACCCTGTGACCCCAATGCATGTCGTAAAAGCCGTCAAATAAGAAGATTCTTTCAAAGTCGAATTGCATTTCACTGAGAGGCAAGGAACCACTAGCCAGCACACAAATAAGCTAGATTTGTAACATGAATGATTACGGAAAGCTTAAATTCTGGAACAAGATTAACGTTTAAAAGTATACGAACAAGCACAACTTTTCGCCAAGGCTCACAGACAGTAAATAGAAAGAAAAAGAAACAGAAAAAGAAGATACTGAAACTTATAGAACTACAAGAAGGATGTCACAGACTAACCGCAGAAGTAGTTGGCCGTTTGTGGTTTTACTGGGGAATTTTACATTTTAAGTTTGCTAAAATGCAGCACCAAAGCACGCCTTCCGCTCAGTTTGTGACAAAACTGTTGTGGCGGCTTCTAGTTTAATAGTTACTATTAAGTCGTCCCCTGTGGGGTGCAATTGTTTTTTTCTATTTTAAAGCTCCACCTTGGCTTTTTCCGGAGGCCCTGAATATAGCCGGGCCATAGATATTGCTTAGCCGTAGATATGGCCTAACGGATGAAGGGGTTTCTGGGACCTCTACACAGGTGATCCTCATCCGCATGGTAGCACTTTGTGTCACCGGGTGTTTATAGCTTGTGTCATATCCTGGTGGGGTACAACTACTAACCTACTTTCTAGTTTAATTAAGTAATGCCACTGAGCAACAAATTTTATTTCTTTCTACCCTATATATTTCAGGATCCTCGGCGCTGCTATGGAGTTCGTGCACTGTGCTGAGATTGCTCGGACTCAGATTTGAGTTAGAAGTAGATCGGAGCATTTATGGGTACACCTTGTGCCATGATGTTGATCCGTTGTTCAAACCTCAAACCCTTGAACACCCAATCACCTGTTGTATTTACCCCCCCCCCCCCCCCCCCCCCCCAAGGTTCAAAGCAATGCCAATATTTTAAAATACAGATGCAACATTTCTGAGCACCGGATGGCTGAACTGTCAGACCAAGAACAAGGCAGAAAGATATCTGTTATTGTCATCCCATGTGGGATGCAATTTTTAGTTATATTGAAGACCCACTCTGGCTTTTGCAAGGGACCCTAAATATAGCCGGGCCTTCAAAATAGCCCAACGCCTAAACGGGGTTTCCGTGATCTTTCCAGGAGTGATCCTCATCCG